GTCTTTTGACCTTGGTAGGACCTTTCCAGGCTTATATTTCCTGGACTGCCCTTTGATAATGCAGGGTCAGTGTGGCATTGGAATAGGACTCCAGCAGAGGATTCTGTTGACTTGCCAAGAACTCTTTTTCAGCACACTTCCAGATACATACACATATAAACAAGATAGATAAAGGTTTAGTAATAATGAGATGAAGAAGAAAGAGGGAAGGAGAAGGAAGAGGATAAAGAAATAAGCTTGAGACAATGACTCTGTTTTCCCCCTCAATTCTGGAACCTTCTTTTCTGACCCAAGAAGGCACAAGGAACTTGCTGGAAGGTGACATGAGTAGAAGAGCAGTTCTTAGTGAGTGAAGGATCTCCCCAGAAACCACTGCTGCTAGATGTTGAGTAATGTTTACGCTTAGAATGTCTAGGAAATGTTTATGCTTAGGATGTACAATAGAGCAGGAAGAGTATTGGATCTGAATTCATGACATTACATTCAAATCCTAGCTCTGGCACTTACCAGCAAATGGCTTAACCTCTCTAAGCCTCAGTTTCTTCATCTGTAAAATGCAAATGACAAGAATATTTGCAATACCTATAGCATATAGGTAGTGTAAAGTGCTTTTTAAATAAGTGCTCTATCAATAGGATTTGATATTATTATAATGAGATTAGCTGCTCAGTAGTTCCTAGAAATAATTTTGAAAACCAGCTTGTTTTAGTTATCTGAAGACATGCAGCCTGTATGACATGAAACCAGCCAGGGTAGATTTTCTGACTGTGGTAATGCAGTGTTTGTGGGCCAGGGCCTGGTGGAAATGTTACAGTCTGATGAACCTGGTATTACCAGGAGCTTCTAGAGCATTTCTCCTGCTGACATCTGTGAAACCCATGTGATATGGAGTGGGAGAAGGGGGAAAGGAGGGGAGGTGTGGTTGAGGTACTCTTTATCAGAATTCCTAAGCAAGCATTTCTTCTTTTTTGTTATATTCCCCATTAGTCATGGTGACCTGCAATGAATAAGTATGAAATTTTGGAAATGTACAGTAATGGGAAACTCTGCCCCCTATTTTTATTTATGCATTATGTTTGTCTCTCATTTGCTTTGGCAGCCTAGTAGTGTCTTTACTGGTCAGTGATTCACTACTCCAGTTGATTCTTCCCTTTACTTTTGCTGCCACAGCATAGAGTGTTATTTGTCTTCCTTTATGAGGTTTTATTCTTGTTGTCCTGAAATTCTTTTTTACCTCAAGGAAGGGGTTTAACCTGAGTAAGGCAGTCCTTTTATTCCTCCCTAGAAGATGTTCCAAAAGCTTCTGTTTTCTCTTCAAACCTCTACACATTTTCCTCCCTACACCCTTTCAGTTAAAGACCTCTCTTCAGAATTTACTGAAAAAAATTGAGGTTCTTCAGTTTGAGCTCTCTTTTAGTCTTGAAGTCTTTTGACCTTGGTAGGACCTCTTCCTCATCTCCTTGACATCCCTTGACATCGAGTTGTCCCTTCTCCTGGCAAAAACCAATACCTCTACATGTGTTCTTGATGCCATCTTCTTCTCCAGCACATTGCCCCCTTATTCACCTTCATCTCTCTCTAATCTTCAGTCTTTCCCTATCTACTAGCTCCTTCCCTGGGCCTTCCCTTCAATTGCCCAAGACGCCATCCTTAAAATAAGAAAAACTAAAACAAAATACAAAAACCTTCACTAGGACTGCCTGTCCCCATCAAGTAATTGTCCTATATTTCTCCTCCCTTCCTCAACCAAACTCTTAGAAAAAGCTATCTGCACATTCTCAGCTCTTAGAATTTTTGCCCTCTGTCCTCATCACACGGGTGAAACTGCTTTCTCCAAAGTTACCAATAATCTCTTTATGCTAAGTCTGCTGGTCTTTTTCTTAGTCTTCATTCTTCTTGACCTCTCTGCTACATGTGACGCTGTTGGTCACCTTCTCTTTCTGGATTTTCTGTCCTTTCTGGATTTTTATGACAGTACTATTTCCTGGTTCTTCCTCCTACCTATATGAACACTCCCTAATCTCACCATCCATAGTACACCTGCTAACCATGGGTGGTTTTCAGTGACCTCTCTTCTAGGACATGATTTTTTCTCCCTTTGTAGTTTCTCAGTGAATTCAACTCTGCCATGGGTTTAATGATCATCTCTGTGTGTATGACTTAGAGATCTACATATTCAGCTCTCCTCTATCCTAAGTTCCACATCACTGCCTTGCCTGCTGGACATTTCAAACTAGATATCCTAGAGACACATGAAACTCAACATATCCAAAATAGAATATTCTCTTTATCCTCACACTCATCCTTCTGCCAGACTTCTCTATTTTTATCAAGAGCACCTTCTTCTAGTCTCCTAGGTTTGTACACTTGGCATTCTCTGTTCCTCACTTTTCCCCATCCAACACATTCAGTAAGTTGCCAAATCTTACCATTTTTTCCTCCACAGTTTTTCCTATGTCCACAAAGCCACCCCCTTGGGGTCAGCCCTTCATAACCTCTTGCCTAGGCTATTGCAATGTCCTCTTAATTTATCTTCCTGGCTCAGATTCCCCCAGTCCAATCTGTCCTCCACACAGCTGCCAAAAATGATTTTCCTTAAGCTTAAGCCTGACTGTGTCACTCCTTTACTCATTAAACTCCAAAGATGAAAGTATCTGGTGCAAGGGCATGGTTGGAAGTCCAGGAAATCAGGAGCAGATCTGGGAGGGAAATGAAAACAGGGCAGCCTGGGCCTCTTCACAAAATTGCGTTCCAGGAGGAACGCAACAGTGGGAGAAGAGGGGTAGGCCTTGTTGAGGTATATTCCAAGGTGAGCAGGCTGCAGGATGACAGGTGGTCCCAGAATGAGGAGGGTCCAGGTGCTGAGTAGAGTGAGGAGCAGTGTTGGGTTGGGAAAAAAGCACTAAATCTGAGATTCCTATGAAATGCTATCTGAGTATAAGATCAAGCCCCTAAATAGTTTTGAAATACTCTTCAGTTCTTCTTTTGTGTTTATTTTTTGACCCTTTTGTATAAGGGACCTTTCTTTTTCTTTTTCTCAGTTCAACTCAAAGTCATTTTCATCTAATATTTATTAAACATTCTCTGAGGTCAAACTCTGCTATTGCTAACACTATGTGGTGAATCACAATAATAAAAGAGGGTCAGGGAACAAGGAACAAGATGGAAGAGTGTGATGGAAGCTTCTCTCATCAGTAGTCAATAAAGTAGGGTCCAAGAGAGAAAAAACTGAGAGATTGGAAGATGGAAATGAATTCAGTAACAGGAGGATCCCCCTGTACATTTCACTGGGCAAAGTAAAGGAAAAAACAGGGCACAAGATAATACAAATAAATGATAGGGATCAAACCTATTCTCTCCCCTTTTAGAGATTTCATTGATATAGGGAACTCCTGAGTCTCTGCAGCTTACTGTCTTCAAGTGTTGCCTAGAACAATGGGAGGTTAAATGACTTGCCCAGAGTCATACAACCAACATGTGTTAGGTCAGACCAGATCTTCTGTCTACTGTATCATGCTGCCTTTTACCATTTATCTTTTTTTCAAGAGTGAGGACCCTTCCTGAGATCATATTTCAAAGTATAACGAGTAATCCTGCCTTGACTATCATTCTTGAAATATTCTTTTACTTATATTCTGACTTAGGCTATTGCAGGAGTTCTGTATTACATACTCTGCAATGTGACTCTTCCCTTGAATCTATCTCCTCCCACCATAAATAAAGACTCACTTGATACCACTCATTACTTGAAGGAAAGGTAGAATCTCTCTTCTCTCCCTAGTCTCGTGTTACGCAAACCATCAGAACTCCTCCCCTGCCCCAGCACACTAACTCCAAGATAGTATGTATATGTGAAGTTGGAGACTTCACTGCGCTCACATTCTTTGGGGTACTCTCAGCTCCTCATGCCAAGCTTATCAAAGCTAGTGGAAAAACATCTCCAGCACATCTCCTACTAAGAGTGAGTTAATAATGTTGTTTAGTGGAAGGAACACTGGACTTGGAGTCAACAGGTTTAGAAGGCTTGGGTCTGCCACTGTGTGACTTGGGACAAGTGACTTCACCTCTGTGGGTCTCAGTTTCCTCATTTGTAAATTGACTAGATGATCTCAAAGGTCCAGATCTGTCATTTTCTCAGGTATAAGCCTTTATACACAGGGCCCTGTCTTCACACAGAGGATATACTCTTAAAGAAGGAATGCAGATAGAAGGAAGAAGTCTAGAGGGCTTCAGCCAGCCACTATTACACTGAAGCCTCTTTCTTAGAGCCAGACAGTTCATTCTCCCCTTCATCTTTTCATTAACCTAGAAGAAAGAGATGTCGACCTATGTAGGAATGGGAAGCTACTTTTTCCTCTGGGGAGTAGGCAGTAGCCATCCGAAGAACAAAATCAAACTATATTTAGTTGATGAGTAGGAATGGACTTGGGGACTTTCTTTGTACCAAAAATGCTCCATGATATAAATAAATCTAACTACAAAACTACAAGAATAATCAGCTTAATTGGTTGTAGCCTGACATTCAGAATTCCAAGCTTGCTTCAGAGACAAGATCTCTACACATAGCATAAGCCCTTATGATAATACGAGAATCTTTATCAGTAGAATACATGCTGAAGTAGGAAACTAAGGAATCCACATTCCAAAAATTAGTATATTATCACAGTTGAAAGAGGTCAAGGATAAGGAGAAATGGAGAAAGACAGAGAGAGAGAGAGAGAGAGAGAGAGAGAGAGAGAGAGAGAGAGAGAGAGAGAGAGAGAGAGAGAGAGCCAAGAAAAGCAAACATCAGGATGGAACTTCTAAAGACGCAGGGGAAAGAGAAAAGTATTTCTGCTTTAAAACATAAAGAGGCTTCACATCTGGGAGAGTTTGCCTTGAGTTTGATGTGTATGTACCCTGTATATCCAAACACACACTTATTTCAGGAAAGACTTCCCTAAGATTTTTCTCTGTCTTTACAGACTGTCAGTGTTCATTTGTATTCGTCTCATTTCCAGTGCACTCCAAAATGTGGTCCAGGATTCAAGCACCGGATTGTTCTATGCAAGAGCAGTGACCTTTCCAAAACGTTTCCAGCTGCCCATTGCCCAGAGGAAAGCAAACCTCCTGTCCGCATCCGCTGCAGCTTGGGCCGCTGCCCTCCTCCTCGCTGGGTGACTGGAGACTGGGGCCAGGTAAGGCAGCAAGCAGCATGTGTTGACTTTTCTTGCCTGCTTCTGCAGCACCTTGGGAAAACGAAGTCTGGGACTCCAGGGTTGGTGGATAGAAGGGCTCAAGAGATGGGTAGTAAGGTTCCAGGACTTCTGCATGACAGGTGTGTCATACATGGCTTCTTTCCCCTCCTCCCTACACACACACATTTTTACCCTTTGTCATTCATGTTACACACACAGACACACAGGCACACACTCTTATACATACAGATGTACCCAGAGACACATCCATGATTCCCCAGGCCCAAATCCTAAAGCCTTAAATTTAAATGAGAAGGATAATCTTGTTAGCCAGAGAATTAATTGAAAGAAGTTTTAATTCTACTCCCAGCCACAACAATCAACTTTTTTTTGTAATCAAGAACAAGTCATTTTACCTCTCTATCCCTTAATTTTATCATTTGTAAAATGGGGATGACTCTTCTTTCTCACAGAAAAAAATGGGGTGGTTTATTTGGCTAAGACTCAGGAAGTTCTAGGATATCTTAAAAGAAAACGGTGACAACATGTAAGTATGGGTTGTAGTAACGCTTCTGTTTGGATTCACTAGGAATGACCTACTTTCAGAACATTAAAAGCCTCATACAAGGAGCACTCCACGACTAAATCTGCAGTCAAAGAGATAAAAGCCTATCTGATCTATGCTTTCATGCTTGATATTACTTTATGAATACAAATATTTTCCTAGGTCTTTAGGATCAAAATCATGGAGACCCAAACTATAGTGACACAAGGCTAAGCCAATGAGATAATGAGAGTTCGTGCAATTTACATGTGTGGTGAAACTATCATTGTTTAATAGCAATAGTATTTCACCCAAATAGGGCAGATTTGGTGTTTGGCTATATTTATGTATTTTTATAGTACGGTAACAGTTTCACATCCTTCTGTTCTCATTTGAGAGGAGGCGGGAAAAGACGTACATTTCCTCATCTTGGCCTCCATTCAACAAAGATTTGAATGAAACACTTGTGGAATGTTAGACTGTGTGTCTGCCATGTGTTGTGCACTGTGGAACCGAAGAGAAGTGTAAGACAGTCCTGGCACCTTCCTCAAGTCATTTTCAATCTCATTATACACACACAAACACACACATACATTGTATAACAAATGATCATGTAACAAATGGTATGTGATGTGCCAAAATATATTTCAGTGTACAGACTATTTTGTAGTACAAAGCTGATATCATGCTAATCCAGTTCAGTCCAAACCTGTATTAAGTCTCTAATGTGTGGAAAGAACTGTGTTGCTGAGGATCCAAAACAAAAAGCAAAAAATTGACCTTGCCTGAGGAACTTATATTCCATTAGAATGCTATTAAAAGAAACATATCTTAGAAAAGCTTTATTTTTAACCAGGAGAGTACTTTTCTGCTAATATTCTCAGTCTTCTCCTGCTGCAATATAAATGTCTATCGACTATTTTTTGCTCCATGCTGAATGGATTCACTGGACTAGTTGTCGATTTGGAATTACTTTTTTAAAACAGCGTTAACTAAAAGGTAGAGATTGAAAGGCAGTACAAGGAGTTGACCTCAGAGCCAGGAATATCTGGTTTTGAGAACTCCCTCTGACACATGCTGTGTGATTCTGAGCAAGTCACTTAATGTCTCACTGTCCCAGGAGGCAACACTTTTAAGGTAATAAGTTACAGAGGAGGTGCTACTCTGTATCCCTGGAGGGAGTGTCATTTTAAGGAGTCCCTAGACCAATGAAATCACTTGTTCTTTTTTTAAAAAAAGTCAATAAAGTCTTTGTTTGGTTATACATAGGACAATCTGCCCAACTTTTCTCATACTCCTCCCTCTCTCGTCCAAACCTGTGCCACAAATTGAAAATAGTCATGGTAATTACATTCTAAAAGATCTTTTAGTGAATTTTATGGTGACTTTATTTGTCGTTCTTTCCTGGAAACTTGAAAATGAAATATTTCTTTATGGATCGTGTCCTTTTTCACTTGGCAAATACTGAATTTCCCTTTTGGTTTGGTGCAGATGAATCCAAAATGGTTCTGTCATGTTTCCCTCATGGCACACCAATACCGCAGACACTATCAGTAGGATTGGATGTTACATTTAGGTTTCTTGCTGAGCCAATCAGCATGGCTTCCATATACTCAGGGACATTCCATGCAATCACTTTCAAAATCCCTTTTAGCCTGGGGAGTGGAGAATTGATTTTTAACAAGTTAACAAATAACTGTCTACTCTCATCCCAGGGAGTTTAGATTTTTTTTAATCCTAAAAGAAATAAGAGTCCTGATGCCTAGAGAAGGTGTCATTAAGAAAAACTAGGCTCATGAGTTGGTATAAAAATTTACTTGGTCCCTTGAGGTATCTTTAAATTCCAATTCTTTTAATATAACAGTAAAATCAGACTTCAACTCTATGGTTGGGCGAAATAATGGGAAAAAGAGACACTTCATTGACCAATACCAGGTTCGCCCTCTAAGACCCTGTAGATGTCCAAGTTCAGATGCATGAAGAAACACTTGCTTCTTTTTTATTGGTCCGGACCCTAAACATTTGAAAATTGTTACCCTTGTATTATTATCTGCTGTGGAGGTATTGAGCTGCGTTGGAAGATATGTAATCTGACATCATAATATTTGCCCTGGATAGTTAACTTTCTTAGAAATTGTGAAAAATGGTATCTTAAAATGTTCCTAATTGTTACCTTTACTCTGTGTGACTTCTTAGGTGGTTGCCTCCTCCTAGTCTTCATTCTAATCAAGGCCCCAAAATAGAGTCACTGGGCCAGGGTTTTGTCCTACTTAGGTCTCATCACTGTAGTTAGGGGCTGAACTAAACTAAAGGACAGTGGGCATTCATTTGCCCAGGAATCTGGCCTACAGGTTGACCTACACTGTTTTGCGATTTTCCAGGTAAATAGAGAACAACAATGACTTTCTGTCCTTGAAAACAACCTGGAAACACTGATTAAACCCCTGTCAATCTGGGAATTAGTCTGTCCCCTTTTATTGATTCAATGTTTTATTTTAACTTGAGAAGAGTCCCAAGGAGTCCTGTATATGGTCTTTTGGGAACTATATCACCTCTATTTTCTGGCATAAAAAAGGAAATGAAAGTCTATGAGCAGTAACATTGTACACTTGTCTGGGTATGTCTCTCTCCAGGGAACTTTAGATGTATTGGGAGTATCATTTATGTGTGTAATGTTCTAGAATATAACAAGACAAACTATTTGTGCACCCCAGGCAAAACTGGAGAATTACATGAGACCCCCTTGTCTTTGAAAACTGTGCTCCCTATGTGTGACTGTGTGTTGGAGGCTTTGAGCCTTCAGTGGGAGATATGCAATTTGACTTATCACAGAAGTAAATAGATGTCATAAAATTTTAATTTTCAATAGAACTTTAATGCCAGAATTTCCTAGTATTAAACTTTTTTTATAAGAAGTATATATAAGTATATGAATTTACAAGCATAGAGTCATCTTGAATATCTCAGAAACCAACAAAATCAGTGTTTTCTTTCTGCCTCTTCGGGACACAGTGTTCTGCTCAGTGTGGACTTGGACAGCAAATGAGGACCATTCAGTGCCTCTCCTACACGGGGCAAGCATCCAGTGATTGTCCAGAAGCACTCCGGCCTCCGTCGATGCAGCAATGTGAGAGCAAATGTGACAGTACTCCCATTTCCAATACTGAAGGTAAGTTGCAGATGGATCAACATAAAGGCAGATGTGATGCTCCCTGAGGGACCCTTTCCCCTATCAGTGTTGTATGATCCTGACCTAGTTAACAACATGGGAGCTGGTGAATCCTCTTGGAGACATCAAGGGAGAAAGGAAAGAGCACAGGCTTGGAGACCCCGGCAATGGTTCTGATGTTAACTAACTGTGTGATGTGACTTTCAGGCATTGCATTTAATTTCCCTGGGCATCTGTTTCCTCCTCTGTTTGTTTATTTTTAATGGAGGCTTTGAGTAAGTAACCTCTGAGGTTCCTTTTTCAGCCTAAGTCTGAGCCTCACATGGTGCATTTTCTCTCTAATCCTGTTGTGCTGCTTTGCTGATAACCGAAGTCTAAGAATGACCTTTGATGATCCATTCTTTAAAATGAGACATTTCTGTTTACTTTCACACAGCAATGGATTAACTCCATCTTGAAGATTAGGCTTCATGCTTGGTAAAAGTATAATGAAAACATATGTTTGAGGCTACTTGTGTTTCAAATGCTTGTACTCTTTCCTCATTTTTCCAAGGAGGAAGTTCATCACTGAGCCTGTTTTTAAAGGGGTTTGGGGGATCCAGAAACTTTCTCTTCTTAATGTTCATTCAGACATCTCTTTAGTAATTCCAGACACTAACAGAAGAGGGATGTTGTGATCCCAGGGGGAGAATAAGGAATACAGAAAGCTCTTATAGTCTGATGACAAAAGCTTCTGTTTTAAGTCTGTTTTATTTATTCACTCAGCATTTATTGAGCACCTACTGTGTGCATTTACCTACTGTGCTGAGCCCTAATGGGGCTACAAAGATAAAGTAAGGATGGATTGTCCTGTGTGGTTTGCTTCAGTCAGTAGCTCACTGGCAAGAAAGGGGACACATTTTAGGAAAGACATTGACAAACTTGAAAGGATCCAGAGTTGGTGAAGGGCTATGAGGTCAAGCTATATGGGAATTGGCTGAAGGAAATGAGGATGTTTCATTCTGAGAAGAGAAGACTTTGAACACATGGTAGCCATCCTCAGGTATTGGAAGGACTATTGCATGGAAGATGCATTAGACTTAGCCCTAGAACTAGCAGGAATGGACTGAAGTTATAGACAACGGTGTTTGGGTTTGGAGTGTAAGAAAACCCTTTCAAACAAGTTGTGCTGTCCAGAATTGAAATGTGCGCCTTGGGGTATGTAGTGGGTTCCACTTCAGACAGAGAGCTAGTGAAGTGGACAGAGCACCGGGTCAGGAAGTCAAGAAGACCTGAGTTCAAATCCAGCCTCTAACACTTACTAGCCATGTGACCCCGGACAGGTCACTCAACAACACTCAACCTGCCTCAGTTACCTCAGCTGTAAAATGGAGACAATAATAATGCCTACCTCACAGGGTTATTGTGAAGGTAAAATGCGATATTTTTAAGGTGCTTAGAACAGTGCCTAGAATATAGCAGGCAATTAATAAATATTTTCCCTCCTCCTTCCCTCACTCTTCCCTAGAGACATTTAGGGGAGGCTGACCACTTCACAGAACTATTGTAGAGGGGAGTCTTGGCCTTATATGATCTCAGGGTCCTCCCAGATATGAGATTCCATAATTCTGTGGTCATCAGCAAGTGCATGCATATGCACAGTGTCTGATGCCAAAGTTTTGCTCAAGGCCATTGATTCTTATTAAAAAGAACATACATTAAGAAGGCCTCAATGTGGAAGTGAAATATATATATTCAGTGAGAGATTGTAAGTAGAGACCTCCCTTGTACTTGGATTTGTCTCCTCTGTGGGCTTCTAAAATGTATGTAAATTCACTGGTTTTTAATCTCTCACAATTTTGCCTTTGCCCTTGGGAAGCAAATGGATTGGTTTCTACCTGTGGGCTTCAACATAGATTCTTTTGTGTGTGTGATTGTGACTTAAAGACTTTTTATGGAAACAGAAGCATAGGAGGCTAAATCATTTTGCCCTTAGCCTCCAGCCTAAGAGCAGGCACTTAATAAATATTTTTCAAATTTAATTAAAAATAAAACTCCAGTTGGATAAAAACCACTGCAACAAAAGTCTTTGTATTTAAATTCATTTTGCTCCCCATGCCTTTCTTTTTCGTCTGTGTATTAAGGGGCAGGCCTGAAATTTGGCTCTGAGGTCAGCATGCCAAGTTCAGGACATATAGCAAGCAGGCTTCTGACAAGCAGTGTTATCTTTCTTCCAAATAGAAGATCTCCTTTTGATAATATGACAGTGGACAACTTTATTAATTGTAAATTACCAACAGTAATTCCAGCAATTATTCCCAGGGGGTAAGGGGATTATTTTTCTTATAGGAAGTAAGAGTGAAAGGATAGAAAAAGGGCAAAAATGTGTGGCTATCTCAATGTCAACTAAGTCATGAAGTCTTAATACTAGTTGTGTTTTCCATTTTTGATTTACAAGTGAAAGCAATGTCATTGATTGGAAAGTAGCTCTGAGAAGCAGCCTGGCTTGATGAGTAGAAGAGTGAGGAAGATATAGGTTCAAATAATGCCTTTAACATAGTATCTCTATACCTGTGGGCAAGTCAGTTAATTTCTCCCTACCCCCAGCAACTCTCTTTAATAAAATTATAAATTGTGGATGAGTTGCCAATCGAAACTGGGAGTTCATTACTTTGAAGAAATCATAAGTCCAGACCAAAAATAAATAAAACTAAAGTATCTATTGCAAGGCTTGCCTGGGAGAGAACTCCACTCTAATCACTGGCTGGAGGGTGAGTTCTCTGACATGACCCATAGTATATCTAAATGTACAGGTTACCTTGATTTCTTTTAGACCCTCCATTTCTGCTTATTTCTCCAAAAGCTTTTCTCTGGTAGATGATGATTATACAGGAAGACACCAACAATACTTATGAAGTTGGTCATATGAAGTACGGTGTACTGGGAAGAAGGAGTGTTATGTGATTCTAGCCCAGAGTGAGGTCACATGTGGCCCTCTAGGTCCTCAGGTGCAGCTCTTTGCATCCAAACTTCACAGAACAAATCCTTTTAATAAAAACATTTGTTCTGTAAAACTTGGAGGCAGTCAAAAGGCCACACCCAAGATCTAGAATCTAAACCATCATGGTATTCTCCTTTTTCCTGTAAGCTTTCTTACAATTGGTTAGGATTTTGTTTGCAGATTCTTGGATGTTTAAAAGAGATCTCTCTTGGCCATTTATCCTACCTGGCCTAATTGCTTGTTTTCCATGTTAATCTGGAAATAAATGGTCAGGCCATTAATGACCTTTTCACCTCCCTGTAAGAAAAAGGAGAAACAGAAAATAATTAATCTCTTTTGGAGATTAGCATGACTAATCTTAACAGCTTTATTTTATGAAGTTTTTTTTTCTCACAAGTACAAAGAGTAGATTAGTCACTTCTTTGCATATTTCATATCAAATGCAGATAATTCCAGTGATTCTGCTATAAATTGTTTTGTGTTCTGTTTCTCTTACAAAGGAGTATATATTTCAGCTTTTTAAATACCAGGAGTCGTTCATTCTCTCATTCGTTTAGGGAAAAAATCTTCTATCTATAAAATATTATTAGGGTCTGGATGGAATATAAAGATCAATAGGTTATAAATTCCTGCCCTCAGGGAGGAATTTAATACAAGATAGAATATTAAAATGCCATGAGAGAGAAGCAAAGCAAATATTGCAGTGATCAGAGAAGAGAGAGATCACTTTTCCATTGAAGGATCAGAGAAGGCTTTGAGAAGGAAGTGGCATTTGATTTAGTTCATGCAGAAAAGATAGGATTTCAGTAAGTGGAAGTTGTGGAAGGGGGATGAGCAAGAAGTTTTAGAAACAGAGAATGGCATGCATGGTACAGTGATGAGTAGAAGAGTGAGGAAGATATAGGTTCAAGTAATGCCTTTGACATAGTATCTCTGTACCTGTGGGCAAGTCAGTTAATTTCTCCCTACCCCCAGCAACTCTCTTTAATAAAATTATAAATTGTGGATGAGTTGCCAATCTTGATTGAAGAACAGTGAGTAAGGCATTTGAATGGAACCTGAGGGTAGCACTGAAAATAATGAGCATGAGGAAAGGAAGGTGCAAATGGGATAATAAAAGCAGTTCACGTGAACATAGCACTTCAAAAAGTTCATTGTTCTGGGGCAGCTAGGTGGCGAAGTGGATAGAGCTCTAGCGTTGGAGTAAGGAGGACCTGAGTTCAAATGTGGCTTCAGACATTTGATACTTACTAGCTGTGTGACCCTGGGCAAGTCACTTACCCCTGATTACCTCACCAAAAAAAAAACAAAAAGCAGGAAAAAAAAAGAATTTCACTGTTCTTTATTAACATTTTTTCATTTGAACCTCAGTATAACCCTATAAAATCCATGGTTTTATTATCCCCATTTTTTTGTTGTTGTTCAGTCATTTTTCAGTCATATCTGACTCTTTGTCATCCCATTTGGGGTTTTCTTGGCAAAGATACTGGAGTAGTTTGCCATTTTCTTCTCCAGCTTATTTTACAGATGGGGAAACTAAGGCAAACAGGTTTAAGTGACTTGTCCAGGGTCACATAGCTGCTAAGTGTCTGAGGCTGGATTTGATCTCATGAAGAAAGGGACATTTTACAGAGAGGAAATTTATGGAGGAGGAATTTGAAGTTAAGTGATTTGCCACTGGCACACCCAGCTAGTGCTAGCATAGATGTAAAAAGAAGAGAGAAGGCCAAGAGATGGGAGAGGAATAGTGATTCTGAAGTGCCAAGAAGGAGCATCCCTCTTTGTCCCATGGGTGAAAAAACTGCCTTGTATTGGCAAGACCTTCGAGGGAAAAAAAGATGCCTGTAGAGAGGCAGGTTTCAGAGCTTTAAGCTCAGGGCTTATGGAAAAAGTAGAGGATATAGAGATATTTGTTGGGAGTAGAGTAAAGATTATACTGCCTTTTTGTGTGAAGGTTAAAGCAGACATGGAAAAGGATAGTTCTTAAATCCAAGCTGGGGGAGTCTCTTGAGCTCTAAAA